ATATAGGCTTTAGGTCATCTTTGGACCAATAGGAAAAAAAAGAATAATGATTAGGCAAAATAAGTACTATTCCTGATAAGGCAAATTATTTAAGGGGTGAGGATGAGAAAAAATGGCCAAGAAACTTGCAGATTGGATGCCGAAAACAGAAGGGACAGTTTCACTCTTTCATCTGATTATTTTTTTACTTTGGAGTTAATCACCTTTAAACTTTAAAGTAGTAACAAATTGATGAAAATGGAATACAACATATCTCGTAGCGAAATTGAGTGAAAGACTTTGAATATTTTTTTTGCATAGTACTTTAATCTTTATCCACTAGTAATTAATTGCTCCAAATAAATAGTGGCCTGAGAGAGATTTTAGGGGAGGCTACAACAGAGACTTGTCAAGTGTTTATGTTGAACAAATATGTGAAAGTTTGATGGGCATATTCCACAAGTTGCCATGAATTGAAGATCACTCTCGCCGCAATTCTTGATTTTCGTGAAAAGAAACAAGAGTCGGTCACTAGTTATAGAAGTTCATGTGTGGCAAGAGTAAGTGAACAGAATTCGAAGTGAAGTAGTATAAAAAAGGGTGCGTGGAGAGAATGGAGGTCTGAGGTCCTTGTCTGATTGGACGGTAGGAGCCAAAGATGAGCACATAGTTTGGGGTAAAAATTAAGGACGGTAAAAGAAAGTCGACTAATACGGGGTTGTGCGAGACTAAATGCAGTTATATGATCCTTTTTTTATTCCAAGGATAGTGAAAACTTGCAAGAATTAGGTAGGATCAGTACTTTGTCTGTGCCCAGTTGCCGCCTTGCACGTCCTCATCTATGCCTTGACTTCGTAGTCCATTAAGAAGACTTTTAATTTCAGCCTGAATTAGCCCTTTGCATGTCTTCAAATTAAGCACCCAATCAATGGCGTGAATGTAATTAACTTCTATTTAATCAATCCCGAGTTGGTAAAATCAACTATTATTTTGTGGTTGTTGTGATTCGGAGCCCTCTCTCTAATTTTTTTTCATTTGTGTGAATTAAGCCTTCCCTAAGGTTTCCTAATGAAAGTTAATTTTGTCTAGTAAGAGTTTTTTTTCCTCTTAAATATTTCTAGTGAGAGTTTTCTTCTCTCTTAAGATATTTCTTGTAAGAGTTTTAGATATTTTTCTATTTCGAGTTTTTTTTTCAGATTTTGATTATCAGATTTATAATTTCTTGGGTCTACCCGACTGATTTCATTATAATATCTGAACTTGAAACAATTAATCACTAGATCTAGCAATTGGAAACATGTATAGTTGTTAATGGGATTACAATTATTTTATCTCATTTTTTAAAATATTTTTTTGAAACTTTACAATGTAATTTTTATTTGTTCTTTAGATGATATGTAGTATCCAATTTTCAAATCAATGTTTTGATATCTGTGTATGTTTGATGATACAACATTTGACATTAGTACAGATTTTAATGAAATTATGATCTCTTATCAAAGAAATCAATCCCAATTTGCAAGCATCATTGCATACGTAAATGATTAGGTCAGAAAGAAGAATCCCTTTTTGTTGTCCTTCTCTCTCTCTCTCAGAGTAATTGGTAACCTTGACTACTTGATGAATTTAGTTTTTGGTTCTAGGATTGTGAAGCAATATGTTTATGCGTATGAATGGAATGAAAATTGTCTGCCACATTTTACAAACATCCAATAATTGATTTTCCCGAGTTTGTTGATTGTCACGATGAGTATCAAATTCCAGCAATAATTTAGTAGGTTGTAACATACTAACGCAACTATGTAAATTAAGTAAATATGCAGAAGTCTCGTGGTAGCGACAAGATCAAGATTGAAGATTTATTGAAGGAATTCTTACGTAAATTAGAGGCACATTTTATAGGAAAATTCTACTGTTCCGTTAGGATTAAATTCACCATTGGATATAGAATAAGAGTTATCAACTCTTAAATTAGTTCAAGAGTTTAAACTACTAAACGATATAGCAAGATCTGAATGGATTAAAATCATAGATACCGTATCTAAAAGGAACTACAGCATTTTCCTATTTCATAAAGCTTCTGGGAACACAAGTCTACATTAGGATTTTTCCAAAAAAAAAAAACAAAGTCTACATTAGCTAGGAAGATACTTCTTGTTAATAAGTTAGATGTAGCTAGTCTAAATTAATGTATAAGTAACACAATTAAACTTCCTTGGTCGACGCATGACCCATACGAAACTTTAAATTTGGCTTTTGGAAGGATAAATCTTTTTTTTTTTTGTTTTTTTGGAAGAATGAAAGGATAAATCTTTAACTTACTAAAAGGGAAGAATACAAAAGGAAGATCATATTAATTTTAACAGTTGAAAATTTCCCAACTGCACGAGTGAAGAATTAAGAAGATATTCAAAGACACGACAATGATAAGATATGAGACATCTAATATAATTTTGGAATGTAAATAACCAAAAAAAAAGTTAAGCATTCCTCAAACTCATTGGTATATTATCTTCTTTCTGATAGATTGATAGCCTCTATATTCACCAATTAAACTATCCAGGCAAAACCCACAAATGGATAATCAAATTTTATCTTCTGCCAATATTGGTCAAATGAGCTATCTATGGCTAAATTCTATCTAACAAATATATAATTAGGGCTAACTACTGTCAGAAGCTGAACCTTTGAGCGAGTTGATTTTGGTTCTTGAACTTTTAGATTTGACTTTATAATCCTTTGTATTTTTTTTATTTTTTTTTTGCGTCGATACACTTTATAATCTTTAGAATATAGACAAACATTTCCAAAACAACCACCAAATTCATTCAGTTGCCGTCAAGATAGTATATGCCCATTTGACTTGAGAGCTTACGTAAAATACTCAATGATTGACATAACTATGAAATTGCCGTCCAAACAGATTATGGGCGTCATTTACACCTAAAATTACGTGTGGCCATGAAATGCTGCTATTCCTTATATACCATTTAAAAGTTTGAAATTGTAGGATATGTGTTCGCCATGAAGTACCCAATACCATGGATAAAGTGTAGAAATCATCTTTAAAAAAGTTCAATTGAAAAATAGAGGTCACCAAAAAAATAAAATTGACGGACTGATATTGCCCGTATGCTCTCCATTGGTTGAAGATTAAGAGATCGAAAAATGTTCAGGGCAAATCAATGGAGTGATGCTTCGTATTTTAGAATTAATTTGATCAGATCAGAATTGTAGGGAAAACTCTTTCTTACCTTCACATGTCTTCCAACGGCTGTGACAGATTGCCGTAAACATCAATGGCTTGTCAGAATGGCCATAAGGGTAACGAGGCTTCTAGTTTTGCAACAGAAAGTTTATGGTAATTTTCAGTAATCTTTAGTCCATTTACTGAAATACTACTATATGACCACTGTCAAAATACCAGATGACCAGGCTTTATCCTTTAATCCCTCAATCATGAAATCAGGGTTATGACTATGATCATAGTTGTGGTTGCAACAAACTCCATACCTATTTGATATGCCAACTAGAATTATTTATGCAGAAGCCTTGTGGGAAAGACAAGATCAAGGACGACTAAGACGATATCAAGAATTGGTTACATTCAGATGATGAGCAGTACTATGATTTGTGCCAGAGAAGTAATTCCATGTTACTTATATTTGAAGCATATCAACCCGTGAACCAACCAAGAGGGAAGATCACATTCTTTTGAACTGTTGGAATGCTCAGCAAGAGCAAGATCATTTCCAGTGCCGACACATTTAGAAGTAGTTCTTCAGGTCAAGTTGACAAGGTTCGCAGCTGATAGGGCTGCATTTAGTTGACATTGTTGTTCCAAAGAGATTATTAAGCATTCTTCATATTGATTATATACTATAGATGGATACTCCGATCTTGTTTCTTCTAGCGACGGAAACTATTTAATAACCAACCGGTTCCTGCTTCCCAGGCCCTAGCCTGTCCAGGTTAACCTGCAACAAAAGAAAAAAAAAAAAAAGGATTTTGATATCGACTGCAAGCACTGGTCAAATGGCCTAATAAGCCATCTATCACCAGCTTCAAATGGCCAAATGATTTAGGGATGGTTACACGGAATTTCCTTTTTGAAGGCGGTTCAATGTTGTCCTCTCTAAGCTTTACAGGTTTAGGCCATCAACTTGTGCTCTAAAATGGTCCGCAATCGGAATCTAACCAAACTGAATGTTTCTGTTGATTTTGTGGAGCATTAAGAATCTCCGTACAAAAGCTCTATTTTGTTAAAATCCCATGTTCGGACAATTTGGCTGCATTTGGATTGAGGGAAATATGAAATCCTTTCAAATTCTCTAGTTGTTTACATTTTTTAGGAGGTATTTATATTTGTAAATTATTTTAGTATTTAAAGTATATTTTAATAGTTAGTGCATTATAAACTTAAATGTCTATTAAGCAATCCAAACAACTAAAACGATCTGAGTAGATTTCAAATACTTCATCATATTTCCTCGATCCAAACGAAGAAGTATCCAAAATAGATACCTCAATTGCTAGTTGGACAAAGGCCCAAAAAAAAAAAAAAAAAGTTGACGAAATTGTAACTCCCTTAATTACCAAACCATGTCATTTTCTGGAGGGTTAATATAGAAGCGATGTCCAAGTCAGTCATCTAATTGGTGGATATACTATTTACATCAATATCTAATTTACGGATACAATGTCTACATTAACGTGGAGAATGTGATCTTCATCATAAACGCTGCATCAGTGGAGTTCAAGACAAATTCCACACACAGAAGTCAAAACATTAATCAAATTGAAATCAACCACCAAGCACAGCTGTAACTAATTTCAGACATGCCACGACTTTTTAGACGCAGGTTTTTAATTAATGTGTTATTAAATGGCATTGCCGCACTATGGTTTTCTGTACATTGCAAAAATGTCTTAGCCAACTTTGAATTGGTGTTACTCTAGGTTCTATATAAACCCTGCACTTCTAGCGTGAAACACAAAACAAAGTCGCCATTTCCCTTCAATTTTCCTCCCAGCATTAGTCACCAAACCCACTCAAAAAGAAAAATGAGGGTCAGACTAGAGAGCTCAAGAATCATTAAGCCCTTGCATGAAGGCATCCCCCCAACAACAAATCATATTCCCCTAAGTGTTTTTGATAAGGTAACATTTGATGCCCACATGGCCATAATATATGCCTATCATCCACCAAATCCTCCAAATGCTACCTTAGAGACGGGGCTTCGAAAGGCATTATCTGTCTATCGAGAATGGGCCGGAAGATTGAGCAAAGATAATGATGGTGAACCAATCATTCTTCTCAATGATGCCGGGGTGAGATTTGTCGAGGCATCGATGGATATCGAGCTTGATCAAGTAATGCCTCTCAAACCATCGGCATTCTGTTTAAGCCTTCACCCGAGTATACAAGGAAATATTCAAGAGTTGGTGCAAGTTCAAATCACAAGATTCACTTGCGGCTCAATCGTGGTTGGCTTCACAGCTCACCACACTGTGGCTGATGGGCAAGCCACAAGCAACTTTTTAGTTGCTTGGGGGCAAGCTTGTCGAGGGCTCGAAATACATCCCCTTCCTCTGCATGATCGGGGAATTTTCAAGCCACGGGATCCCCCTTGTATAGAATTTGAGCATCGAGGGGTCGAGTTTAAGAACCCAAAACTCGAACAATTCCACCCTCTCCTAGATGAAGACGTCGACGGTGTTGCAGTGGATCAATTCCACTTCTCATTAGGCTTTCTAGCCAAGCTCAAAGCAAAGGCTTCCTCTAGGAATGGTAATGACAAGTCCTATAGCACATTTGAGAGCTTGGTGGCACATTTGTGGAAAGCTGTGACGAAAGCTCGTGGACTGAGTGCATACCAAACAACAAGCGTGAGAATTTCAGTCAATGGTCGCATGAGGATGGATCCAAGAATTCCAAATGAATATTTTGGCAATTTGGTTCTATGGGCACTTCCCACTGCAAAAGTCAAGGACTTGTTGCGTGAGCCAGTGCCATACGGAGCCAAACTCATTCATGACACAGTTGCAAATGTGAACGACAACTACTTTAGATCATTCATCGACTTTGCAAGCCACAAGGTGAAAGAAGAGAACCTCGTGCCAGTTGTTGACATGGGCCAATCTGTAATAGAATGCCCTAATTTGGACGTTAGCAGCTGGCTAAGGTTTCCGTTTTATGACCTGGATCTTGGAGGAGGGTCCCCTTATGTTTTCATGCCATCTTATTACCCTCTAGAGGGCACCATTTTGCTTCTACCGTCTTTTATTGGTGATGGAAGCATTGATGCTGTTATTGCACTATTTGAAGACCATTTGGCAGCCTTCAAGCTGATTTGCTATGAATTGGAATAGGAAAGAAGGGATAATGTCGTTCCCTGCTTGTTTTTTTTTTTTGGTTAAAGACGTCATAGGAAAGAAGAGGAATAGGAGAATAAACCTTGAATACGAGTGGGCATACTGGGACAAGAAATGCATTTAGTTCATGCTCATCACCTCTTCGCTATAATATGTTATTGCTTGTTCTACAATTTTTTTTATTTCTCGACGGAGCTTCTTTCCTATTTGTAACATCATACTGGAATAATTTGATAAGTTGAACTCCGGCATTTGTTCTCTATCTGGTGGAGCAAGTCGCATGCATGAAGCCAATATGAGTTGGTGGCGCCTACATACACATTTTCAACTTTTTATCACTCGATCAGTGGCCTTAATTAAATTCGAATTAAGTAACACATAAAGTATTAATACTGTAATGTTACCATATATACCAGAAACATCGACTTTAATTAGATTGAAAGCTTGGAAATTGGAAAACTTACCTGATTTGGAAATCGATCGAGGTTGATCACGTAGCATTTTATACTATTCATAGTATAACACATGCGTGTTATAAAAGATGAAATATCAGTGAGCTGCGACGTCAAAAACACTTTTTTTTTTTTTTGTAAGTAAAAGCAAATAAATTAAAGATTATTAAATTTTCATGTCTTACTTACTTACCTTATGAGATCATATAATTATATCGTCAGTATGCAACAAAGAAAGGAAATTAGACACCCGGCTGATGGACTTGATAATGTTGGTAATAGTTTGTAATGAGTATGTTGAAATCCATTGTCCCACATTGAAAGAGGATAAAGTGCATGTTGCCTATATATGAGTCATTGTCCTATTCCTTTACAAACTTGTTCCAAGATAATAGTTTGGAGGGAAAGTTTGGTGGGAAACTTATTTCAAGATATATAAAATCTTGACAAGGGCACTTGGGCACTTGGGGCTTTCTGAAAGGGTGTCAATCAGAGGTAATTAATGGCGGTTGGCGGTTACATTTTGCAGACATATATGTTAATTGGCTAACTACCCAAACGCCTATTCAATAAAGATTGCATCCTCTGATAGTGCCTTGAATAGGTGCTTCAATCCTTTTAAATAGTAGGATTTCGACAGAATTAAATCACTTTTACTTTTCATTTGATAGTTCTTAGACTTTGTTGTATCCTAGAGGTAATTTGTCTAATAGAGGCAAATAACACCTTAAGGAAAGTGCTTTCACGCCTCAAAGTCTCTGTATTTGTCTAGTATAGTTTTGTTCTTTACTACAGTTTTTCTAACAGATAATCCAGTAAGATCAGCAAAAACTTTAATTTATCCAGTCAAACATGAGAGTCAACACCAACCATAATTTGTTTCTTCAAACCAAGTTACCAATGCCCCACGTTCACACCTGAAAGCATAACTGAGATTCGCTTTATTGCTGTTTGAGTAGTCATCCTGTAACATCAAACTATACTCTGCACTAGATGTCGCTGATTGAGGATAAATCAGAATGGCCAATGAGGAGGTAGGTGCACATACTACCTTGAAAATTTTTCTTCCTTCCAACCTAACCAATCCGAGCAAAAATTTTGGACTTTAAGAACTAAATTTTGGCTGTAAATTTCGTGTTTGGTCTGTTCGGTCGGCCTAGTAGTTGACAGAAATTCTTCAATATGGAATTCAACATTGACACGTAAAATTCCCCTAGACAATTCCTCCCTCGTGAGTTTTTATAGATAATCGCGTGGTGACAAAATAGGCTTCTACTATTTATTTGTTCGATTTTTGGCAGTTGCAAATATGAAAATTTGACCATTTATGATGTCTTTGGCATTTTTTGGGTCATGAATTTCCACCTAATTGACCCGCCTTCAGGAGAATAATGAATATGTTTTTGTTCTCAATGTTACATCACTTAGGAAGACCGCAGCTCCTCTAATTTCGTGATTCGTGTAATTTTTGTACTTGCATTTCATAGTAAAAAGCTAACTCAGGCCGATACTGCATGTCAATTGAAACTTGGATGGTCGATTGTGTGAATCTTATCCACCCGGGTCTGGAACATTGTTATGTATATGAATTTGTGTCATCATGATATAAAACGGCAAGAAAAATGGTATGATTCAAGTAAATAATAGAGTGGACCTTTCACACCCAATATCTTCTTTGGACATGGACCTGAGGAGATTATTTTTAAAAAAAATTCAAAAGACTTTAGAAGCTATGAAATCTTCATTGTGATTAAAATAATGCGGATCAGAGGTCTCACAAGTTGAGTCATATCCAATTTATGATTCGCGAAATTTTGACTACATTTGCTACAAAATTGTACCATATTTTGGCATAATTAACTTACTTGTATGAGTTGATAAATTCAAGTTCGCACCCAAATTACGCTAATTTACACCGAAAGTTATAAGAATTGTATTATCTAGTTTTAGTTGGATAAAACTCAACTTGTAAGACATGTGATCTCAAATGTGCTCGTGTATTCTTCGTAACTTATAAGTGATTATCTTGTGAGATTTTAACCTCGTGAAGTGTAGCAAGCATGTTGTGCCCTCCAAAAAGAATTTACATTAAGTGACTAAATTTAAGTCCAAGTAATATGCTGAGTATTATTCTTATAGATTGATTTCACACATGTGACATGCATCTAGACCCATTAATATATATACTTTATTTATAAAATTAATTTTAATTCTTATTAGTCATTAATCCATATGATTTCATTTTTTGTCTAGGTGAACCTAATACTAGATTCATTGGTGGATGTGTGAACCATTTCCAATCATAGTTGGAGCTTGATGACTTGGACAGTTAGGTGTATGATTAGGCCTAGATGTCTTATCTCAAATATAGAACAGGGCGAATGATGGTGTTTGATGGTAGCCGATTGCCACAAACATAAGGGCCAAAAATCTAGAAAATTTATACAAAAGCAGGCTCCCTAAAAGGGAGTAAAAAATAAACGGAATAAACTGTAAAACTGATGATATTGGCTGTTAGCATCATATCAGAAACTTGAGCACCTTTAGAAGCGAAAATGGAGATGGGCTCTACATGAACTGGATCCCATCGCCTCAACAATTGCGGCCGAAAGGCATCTTGTGAGCAACTTTAGAAGCGTTCATGACTCATGAGCAGTGGTAGACCTATAGAATTCCATTACTCATTTACTCATGCTTGCTTGGGGAAGTTGAACTTGTGGAAGTTAGAACTGGACACCGGCCTGAACGGTTGTCAGGAAACCGTTCGGGCCGATTTTGTACAAGATGTAACTTGCATTGTACACAGTGTACCTCACTTTCAATAACATGTAACTATAGAACAAAATTTTGTGAGTTCCACACATAGTGTGAAAAAACGATGTACAAGATACAATTTGAACATTATATATTTTTTTGGCCAAATCTTGGCCATGAACTTTTAGGAACAATTGCTTCTTGCAACCATTCCTCCTCCTCCTCCCCAACTAATACAAGCTACAACTCTAGTTATTTCATTTTCTTTGGGTTTAATATTAAAAAGCCCCTTATAGTTTGTCGAATGTTCAACTTATTTCCATATAATTCGAAAATCTACATTTTAGTACCTTATAGTTTTAACTAAATTGAAACTTAAACAGAAACGTCTAAACTAACTATTGTATGTGAAATGTTAGAATTTCCTTTATAAATAATATGATTAAATACCAAAAAGCCCTTTATAATTTGTCGAATGTTCAACTTAACTCCTCCTGATTCAGAAAACTACAAAGGGTTTTGGGTATTTAATCATATTATTTATAAAGGACAATTTTGAGATTTCACATACAATTGTTAGTTTGGGTAAAATACTAAAAACTTCCTGTGGTTTGCTAAATATTTCATTTAACTCCATTTGATTTGAAAATTTACACTATAGCTCCCTATGATTTCAACTAAATTAAAGATTGGACGAAAAGTATCCAATCTAACAGTAGTACATGAAATGTCAATGTTGCCTTTGCATAAATGAACTCACTATCAATGTTGCCTTTGCATAAATGAACTCACTATCAATGTTGCCTTTGCATAAATGAACTCACTATGGTTTGCCGAATGTTCAATTTAACTCTCTCTAATTTGAAAATCTAAACTATAGATTCCTGCAATTTCAACTAAATTAAAAATTGAACGAAAAATATTTCATGTATTGCAAGAGGAATATTGACAATTCAAGTACAATCATTAGATTGGATGCTTTCCATCCAATTTTCAATTTAGTCGAAATTACAAGAACCTATAGTGTATGTTTCCAAATCAAAAGGAGTTAAATTGAACATTTGGCACACCATAGGGAGTTTTTTGGTCTTACCCCCGTTATTTTAGACAATTTCTGTTCAAGTTCAATTTAGTTAAAGCCATGAGATGCTAAAATGTAAGTTTCCGAACTATAAGGAGTTGAGCATTTGGCAAACTACAAGGGGCTTTTTAGTATTTAACCTGTTTTTCTCTATCTTTTCCCTTTTTCTCCACCTTTAAGCCAAATGAACACTCTTCTCAAGTGAACATAAGAAACAAGACCAACAGAAAATTAAGAAATCACAAAATTTTCAAAGCTACTTTGCTGAAAATTTAACTACTACTATTCTGCTTGTTCTCAAGGTATGTACAACGTAGGTGATGACTTGGGCTTGATTATGACATGTAAAACTAACTTGCTAAGTTATGTGTCAATAGTTTTGACAAGTTCATTTCTTCTTGTCACACCAGGTTTATAATCTAATAGATCTCGAAAGCGAGTCCAAGAATAAGACTTGCTAAGTAAAGGGTATTGCCTTGTTCCCGCTTGCTTGTTGGTTTTCTACCCACAGAAAATTGTTCTTCGTAGTATCATGGTCAATAAGCATCCATGTCAGTAATCAGTGATGTCAGTAAACATCATTTGGAGGTTTTCATATATGTCAACACTCAACCACAAAGGCTCGTGGCCACCACCAAAGCATCAAAGTTTGGTGGGATGGGAAGTTAAGAGTTCAAATCTTGCCTTCCACCAATTGCCACATTAAGTAACTTTGCTTAAAAATTTCAGACAAATACGTAATGCATTCATTTGCTCCGGTGATGATTCAATTTCCTCCGTGTTATCCTTGGACCTCTTTAGGTCCTCCCCCTGCCCTTAATATAGGATAGAATAGGTTATACAACAGTTATCGTTTCGAAAAATATATATATATATATATATATATATATATATATATATATA